CAAAGTACTGGTATTTCACGTATTCCATTAATATTATTGCCATAAGCCTTTTATTCCTGCCAAACTTTACAGCGGTGTAAAACCGCTATGATCGCACGCACTGAGGAGTTGCTCGTCACAGAGGTCACATATAGAGAGGATATCGGCGACCTTTCGTGCTAATAGTGTACTTATGAGATGTGAGGCACAATTTTGTATCCTTTCTTGTAGCTGGGCTAAGTATCATGATCGGCCCCTGCATGGGCAATAAGCGGTCCCACCTACGCAATTTCTGGGGAACTTCTCACCCCTTTTCACCACCGAAGGAGATTTTGGATCACTCTGTGTATTCCCGTGTGCGATACAGAGTGCAGAGAATCATTTCTGTAACATCCTGAGATCTCACGGGCAGCTGCTCTGAGCACTTCCCTTCAATTTGTGCGCCTCAACTACTTTCCACCAGCCACCGATGTAGCAAGGGGGATACAGACGGCATAACAATGATACTTTATTGCATGTAGCACGAGGGTACAGCAAGCATTACAATGATGGAAAAACTAGCAAAATGTGATCGTAAAATAAACTAGAGAAGTAACATTTGCAAAGCTAATGCATAATGTTTACCTTCGGACATGGTCTGCTCTTTTAATTCATACTTAAACACATACATGTACCACGATTATATGGTGACAGGAGTAGAGCAGACCATGAAATTGCAACATTATGTAACCCAACACCAGTCACCATGGTGACAGACGTCAACAAATCATCTCATTGGCCAGGTCAGAGGTTAGTGTTTGGAACAGAAGAGGAGGAAGAAACTGAGCAAAAACAATATGTTTTCCTTCGGTAAACATAATTACACGACAATTGCACAAGGTGCAATGTATGGCAACAACTATTAACCGTAGTATAAAAAGAGTATAGATCTACATGTATAAAAACGTGATATCCTAACTATGAAAACAATAAGGAATATCAATGGAGTGGGGCTAATCATGAGTTTCTGTATTTTTCTAATTACAAATCAGTCATATATTCTACTTTTCCACTGTGGGACTTGTTGTATCTAAATATCACATTCAAATCTGTCTGTAGTATGGTGGCTTGACATTTTTTTCATCAAATACTACTGTTGTACTTGATTTGAAAGTAAAACTGCTTCATTATGTTTACCGAAGGAATACATATTGTTTTTGCTCAGTTTCTTCCTCTTCTTCTTCTCCAAACAGTGACCTATGACCTGACCAGTGACATGATTTGTTGACGTATGTCACCATGGTGACTGGTGTTGGGTTACATAATGTTGCAATTTCATGGTCTGCTTTGCTCCTGTCTCCATATAGCAGTAGTACATGTATGTGACTTTGAGTATGTGAATATAAGAATTAACAGAGTAGACCATGTCCGAAGGTAAACATTATGCATTTGATTTGCAAATGTTGCCTTTCTAGTGTTAACGTTTGTATTAACACTTTACTTGTCTCCTCCAAAGTCTCGCTTCAGCAGATTGCTACAGCCTCATCTCCAAATCCGAAAACGTGGTCCACTGTAGCTGTGCTTATTTCTATTCTCGGAAGTATAACAAACTCAGCAACTCACAGACCCCCTACCCTGGCCATTTCTCTTCCAATTTACGCCAAACCCAGCATCAAAGATGGATGTTTTTATAGTCTGGTCTGGCACAAGCCATTAACAACGCGCGAGCCTAGGCAACTTGCCAACACTTCTTGTCAATGCCAACCCCTTCTCAATTTATCATCTTTCAACCTTGAAAATGTTAGTACGCTCCATTTATTGCACATTACGGAGGCAACGTTGAACATGTGCATGCAAGAAGCCAGCCATTAAACTGCCACGAAGTAGTATTAATGTGACCACGGATGCCAATTGCAACAGCAGGTACTCTACTTCAGGCACTCCACGATGAGCGGAATCTACCTCGACGACCTTTGCCATGTAGTCGCGGAGGCGTAATGGATTTAGAAAGCGACCATTACAAACATTACGCCAAAAAGCAGTTACTCAAGCAACTGGATATGATGTTGGAAACGGTCAGACGTTTCAGCTAGTATCAACCAGCTTTCGTCAGTGACTGAGAGACCAGAGGGGAAATGCAGGTTTATAAGCACAAACTATTGATTGACATGCAAATAAAGTGAAGACAATTTTTGGAAGTCGAATAGGGAACAAAAGTCAGACAAGTCAAGACAAGATATTAATGAAAATTAGTCAGAAAGCTCCTGTAATACAGAACAGGAGATTAAGTGTTGTCTGTCCTCGAGGCTGGGAGCGCCAAATCTCAAGTGCCGGACAGATCTACCCGTAGCCCCCCATTCCACAAACATTACCAAGACTTTACCGTCAAGAGGGTACATGACGAGCCCTGGAAAAAGGCTAGATGTTGGATGTGATTTAAAACATTCAGCACCTCTAGCTCTGGAAGCAGTTTTACATGTACAGTACTTTGTAGCCTGGTTACGAACTTTTAGATAACTTTGTTACCTTATTTCCCAATTATCATGCATCATTAATAATCTAATATATAGTAATCTAATAACATAGCAAACCCGTGCATGTAGGGCGTTCCAGTTGTAGTTGTATTTTACTATCCACAAATTACAGCGGACGATGAAAATGGGCAATTTGATCGTTAAATTCCCCAGGTTTTATTTTGCTGTCTGTTAGTCTGTTCCATTTGTTGGCATATTGCCACTTCAGTACCTGCATGGGGCCAACCTGAACGCATTTTAACCCCGCTGTTTCGCCTTGACAGGAAGCGACTTTGCTTTGGCACAGCTTACGTTAATTTGTCTGTAAATTCAATCTCTCTCACAGGAACGTCTGGGCACACATACCATCAATTTTCTACTTGTTACCTGCGCTGAGGTGAGACCTTACCAGGCTTTGCCAACCAAGATGAAGTAAAGAAGCTTTTGCGAGATGAATTCGATAGGAGTGAGGGTAGGTGTTAGATAAATGACATGGGCACACAAATCTATCAGAGATATCTCAGACCGTTAGCATCTCACAAGACGTCCGTGAATAAGTTTCTTAGGTTTTGCCAACCAAGATGAAGTAAAGAAGCTTTTGCGAGATGAATTCGATAGGAGTGAGGGTACATGCTTGTCCGGTACGTGTTAGATAAATGACATGGGCACAAAAATCTATCAGAGATATTTCGGACCGTTAGCATCTCACATGACGTCCGTGAATAAGTTTCTTAGGTTTTGCCAACCAAGATGAAGTAAAGAAGCTTTTGCGAGATGAATTTGACAGGAGTGAGGGTACATGCTTGTCTGGTACGTGTTAGATAAATGATATGGGTACCAAAATATATCAGATATATCTAAGACCGTTAGCATCTCACAAGACGTCCGTGAATAAGTTTCTTAGGTTTTGCCAACCAAGATGAAGTAAAGAAGATTTTGCGAGATGAATTCGATAGGAGTGAGGGTACGTACAAGCTTGTCTGGTGCGTGTTAGATAAATGACAAAAATATATCAGAGATATCTCAGACCGTTAGCATCTCACAAGACGTCCGTGAATAAGTTTCTTAGGTTGGTAAGTCACTGAATAAAGAAAGAGAGTCTTTTTACACAACTAGGTGTTGAATAGCAAAGTTCTTTGATCACAACCATTTATTTTTACGAACCGACGTTTCGATGACCGTCTGTCATCTTCATCAGGGCAATTCTGATTTACTGTGCACTTACGCTAGATGTTACTTGGTGCATAGTGCACTAAAGGTGTTACATAGTTCACAGTGCACTCAGGCTAGTTTTTACTGTTTACAATACATTACGGAACGTAGTGTAATTGTAACATACATACCAGGCATTGTTACATCATAGGTCTTCATGCACTATGCACCAAGTAACATCTAGCGTCAGTGCACAGTAAACCAGTCAGAATTGCCCTGATGAAGATGACAGACGGTCATCGAAACGTCGGCTCGTGAAAAATAATGATCAAAGAACTTTGCTATTCATTCGTTTACCAACCTGATGAAATCATTCATGTATGTATGTAACACTATATTGCAACAAGACCTATTGCTTGAGACTCTAGCATTGTTACAGCAACATCTAGCTTCAGTATACAGTGAACCAAATAAGAGAGCTTTAAATATAATATAATATTCGATCACCCACCAAACTGATGAAATAATTCACGGAGTTTACCTCACCTGTTACAATGCTTAGGCCACAGCAAGTAATTTTCATGGATGACATCAGCGCGCGCATTAATTTTCGTCTGATTTTTAGAAGAAAAAAACAAGAAATTTTATTGCCTTCTGACAGTGGTCAACATGCCGGAAAGTGGATGGCAGATACGTATGAAGAGAAGAGACAAGAAAAGGCTCTGATTTAATATGTTTTGTTTCTTACTTTGATGCAGTGATATGTGATGCTGGCTGTGTATATGTGAGGTTCCCACTGAATCAAGACCTTTTGTACCATGATTGAGTCAAAATTTCAAAATATAAGAATTTTTTTTCGGCCCGTCTTTTTTTTCGCCCGCTCGCATTAGATTTGAAGTCTGCGGGGGATGTTATCCATAAAACTTACCTGCTGTGGCCTTACATAAAATGTGAAGGAAAATTTCTGACTTACCCACAAGAATATGTGATGTTCCCACTTAATCAAAACCATTTGTACCATGATTGAGTCAAAATTTCAAAATGTAAGAATCTTGTTTTTTTCGACCCGTCATTTCTTTCGCCCGCTCGCATTAGATTTGGAGTCTGCGGGGGATGCCATCCATAAAATTTACCTGCTGTGGCCTTATGCTTAGGTCACATTTCCAAACCGGGGCCTGGCCGTGCTGTTTGTATGAACGAAAAATTAACAATTCATATCAAGAATATACAGAAATAGTGCCCATGAGTATTATTAAAAACTTATTTTGCTGTCTTTTATATCGTACTTTTCGTTCCCAAAAGCTGCCCGGCCGGGCCCCTTGTGGGAATTGTGACCTCAGCATTACATAAAATGTGAAGGAAAATTTTCCGACTTACCCACAAGAATGTGCGCCACTAGTGTGAAGGGCATACAGAACAACGCCACTAGCAGGTCCGCGACAGCCAGGTTAAAGATGAAGTAGAACGTAGCGGTGTGCAGCTGCCTGGTTTTGGCCACCACGCAGCAAACTGCGAGATTACCGAGCACACAGAGGATGAAGACCAGACTGTAGACTAGTATGTACAGAACGGTGACCGGGGTGTCGTGCTGGTAACTGCTCCACGGCGGCACTACGGTCGAGTTCGAGCTTCTGTTGGGACAAACAAAATCATCCTCGCACGACAGATTTAACCAGGACATGTTCGCGTTTGGTGTCATGTCCATTTTCTTTTAGCTGAACACAAAATGAAAGTCTAAACGATGAAAGTTTTAGGGAGAGAAAAACGCTTATGTTGGAGCTGTGGTCATCTGAAGAGTCTGAAGGTAAAGTCTAACGCGGCTACTATCTTATAACGCTCGCGCAAAGAACTCTGGGGGATGTACATTAGAGCAGTCAATCTTCTATTACATGTGAAAATGTATACAGAGAAGTATGTTAGTCACGTTTGGAAGAAAATAGCCCGTTTTAGTTTAAATAGGACACCCAATGCAATTTTAGGGTGGTAAAACAATTAAAACAAGAGTTCCGAGATCTCATACCTACATGAAATATGGGCTTGATATGTAAATCTAATTTCTTTTCCTTAATTATGCAAATGACCTCTACTTAACAAAATAGATGCATCATGATGTTAATTTTTGATTAACTTACACATGTCCCAAATATGAAATTCCCATCATTTACCACTAAGGAGTCATAGAATCTTTACATTAATTATGCAAATTAGGTCCATATTTGCATAATTGGTATCTATTGATGTTCTACCTGCCATAGATTATAAACATGACATGTATCAAAGTCCCATGATGTAAAACACTGGAATTACAGAATTTCCTCATTAATTATGCAAATGAAGTAATCATTTGCATAATCTGTATCTAATAGTGTAGATCTCTGTCTAAGCTACCAACATACCAAAAGTCATAAAAATACATTGTTCCTGATATAGTATGTGAAATAATCTGCTCTGAAGGGTTTCGCCAGAAACCCCCCTGCAGTTCCACTTGAAGCGTGTGCACAGTCCATAAAACAAGCTACATGAGGCGTCTTTATTTCTTAGGGGGAGGGATCACCGTTAAGTAACTAAAGCCAGCCTAAGATACAAAACTGATCAACTGATTTCAGATTTTTGCCTCACAAAGATATCAGTATGTTATGAGATAGGGATTCATCTTACTACATTAAAAGAATTGACTTTTTTTACTTCCCTGAAATTGTATTGGTTGTCTTTTAATATAATTAAGACAAAGTGAGGATTCTTCTCTACATGTAGCAGTAATTATGTGTGCAAAATATAGTAGATGATAGGTAGTATATAGTATTGTTGTAATGTATAGATTCCTAGCATTAGAATGTAGCGTTTCAGTATGTAATACTCATGTTTTGCATACTGCATGTCCTCTTGTGCATTTAGCCCATCTGGGCAAAAAAGATTCATATCATATCAATAATATACGTACGGGATCCAGAAAGGTACTCATAGACGATTTTACATCGCTGATGATGGACATCTTATAACGCATCGAGCACCAAGCACCAGAGATAAGTAGAGCACTAATTGAACACTACTTGTTGAGTAGAATAAATCAAGTGAGGCTATCAACAAGAGGCATCATCAAGAGCTGGCAGCAGCATCTAGATTTAGAAATGAAGGAGGGAAAAGGAAAGGTCTCCCGTGCCCTTATGTAGAGCGTAGGGTGGTGCCATATCCATTTCTGTAGCCCTTGGGCGACACACAGTTGTGCAATGCACTACAGCAGGGGGCTAGTCCGCTGGTAGTGCATGCTGTGTGTTTGACCTTCCCACACTCTTTCTCCTATGTGCTGAGTGCTAAGCAGAGAAAGAAGTTTGTACCATTTTTAAAGTCTTTGGTATGACCCGGCCGGGGTTTGAACTGACGACCTCCCGGTTACAAAGCGAGCACTCTACCAATTGAGCTATTGCACCGGTACGAATAAATGAAGGATCACGTATAATCTTCAAATTCAGGAGTACTCTTCATCATGCTGAAGGAGGTCGCCACAGCAGGAAGACATATGGATGGCGCTTACTAAAATTACTTCGTGAGTAGAATAAAAAGGATGCAAGATGCAACATAGAAAACAGATTGAATTATCTAGATATAGAAATGGAAACTTTGAAATCAGTGTTCGAAGCAAATATCGCACTAGTACCGTGTATTATGGCACGGTAACATTAGTCGTGAGTTGTCATGAATATGATTTTGATGCAGTAGATTGTTTAAGCACACTGTAACAGAAGAAAACGCCGTCAAGCCAACCAAAGTCGAACCTCCCGTCCACACCCGGATGTTTTAAACAATTTTAAACATTCGGCTGGTGCAGTCGAACAGTAGCCGACCTTGCTCCAGACATAATCCTAGCCATGGTTAGGGACAGTTCAGCAGTGTTCGAGGGGCCATATTTGGCTCAGTATAGTCCTGGTCACAACCCGCCGTGCGTGCTTTTTGTCCGTACGTTTTTTTGGGAGGCTACGTCTGCTACGTTTTTTCTGAAAACGTAGGGAAGGAGTGGCGTCGACGCACGTCACTCGCACGGTTGCGCAAGGTGTAATAGTGTGGTCTGCACGCCACGTCTGGCACTTAAAGTTCTACGTGTCTGCGTGCTCCCAAATCCGTAGGATTCCGTACGAAGGCGGTACTCACCACGCACGGATGCCCTACGTTTGCCCACGTTTTTGCACGTAGACAGCACGCAGAAGCACGTACGGCGGGTTGTGACCAAGCCATATGACAGGAGCCTCACGCAAAGATTTAATCGATCGAGTTGTCAATGGCCTTGAACTGGTATCTAACTTCCGCAAGAGTTCAAAGGACTTCAACGTCCTGCACTGTCCCGAGTGGCAGACTCTATCTCAATGCATCTACAAAGAAGGTATGGTTGAGCTAAGGTCAGCATTAAACGTAGTCAACTGTGTGCCATGAATCTGAAATGGTTCAAACTTGTCAAGTTGTTTCCTGTGACTTGTCATTCAGCCGAAGCCTAGAGAAAAACTGATTAAGCATCTGTCAACGAACAGAGATGCAATCTGAATATCTATTCTCCAGAGAAGACGGGGCCTTTCAGTGTGAGCCATTTCCTGTCAAACGAAAGAAGCAGGAGGATCATCCCGTATGCACTGACTCTCAAAAGAAGCTATGACCAAGTGGGAATAGCTTGCTCGTCAAGTGCCACATAGTTAGACGTTAGGCCATGTTGATTTGATTATATGGATGACATCCTCTGGGAACCCCAAAACTGATGCGAGCGTGCGAATAAAAAAAGTTTGGCAAAAAAAAAGTTTCTTTCATTATGAAATCTAGGTGATTATGAAGGTTAAACAAATGACAAAGAGTATGGTATGGTGAATAATCTAATCTTTAAATTTATTTCTGTACATTTTCGTCTTTTTCGTTTGATTTTGGCATTCTACGACAATGGTATCGTTTTCGAATATTTTTTGGCAACTTACGGTATATATTTGCTCATTTTTGCATCTTTTTGAACGATTTGCAGCATGGTTGAAAACTTTATTTTTTGGAAACGGCCGAAAATTTATGCGCGCGCGGATGTCATCCATATAATCAAATCAACATGGCCTTAAAAAAACAAGCTACGAAACGGAACATTTGACTTTCAGAGGCCTTTACGAAGTCGTAAAGTCAACTGAAATATTTTCCCACCTTTAATACTTCTTTACATATTGCGGAAAGTTTGCTTAAATGTCTGTATATATTTACGTCGCATTTAAGCGCACTGAAAGGTGACGGAAAGGCGGAATTTGCCTTTCAGTGGCCTTCACGAAGTCGTAAAGTCAACTTAAATATTTTCCCATCTTTGATACCTCTTTACATATTGCGGAAAGTTTGCTTAAATGTCTGTTTTCGTGCTGTGTATGCAACTTTCATAGCACTGGGATGACATTGCACTTCGTGTAAAATGGTGGCTTTGCAATGCCAATCATTTTGTTTGTAAATTGGACTGTGGATACAAAAAATGATTCCAAAGAGATTTTGAAGCAAAGTTTCTGTCTCATGTAAAATGGTGGCTTTTGTCTAAGCCAAATATTTTGTTTATAATTGGACTATGGATACATAATAATTCCGAAGGGATTTTGAAGCAACGTTTCGCTCATTTCTGTATTTGTCATTCTTATGTCTAGACGTATGCATGTATTCTGTTTGCTAATGTTCGTCCAGCATTTATCCCAGTTGTCGCTTATCTTGACAATTCTACATCCTACACATCGATCACGTCCATGGCAGTTGTCTGTTCTCAGTTCTACCGTGGTATTGAGGTAGAGGCTATAAGCTTTTAGCAAGCTTAAATGCCTCTCCCTAGAGTTTAGCTTAATGGGTTTGGCTATTCGCTTCATTCTCCAAATGTTTTTTCTGTAGAAACCGCGGTCGATTCTTTCTGGTGATCTGCAACAAACCTCAAATGCCTCATGGATCATCTCATCAGCTCTTGTGGCTTTAATGTTTATAGATTAATGATCTAGAGGTTCTGGGTTTGAATCCCTAACAAATCCAAGAACAACATCACTTTAAAATTGGAATAAACTACCTCGTGATTGCTTCCCCTATGAGTATAACCTTAAACATTTCAAGTCTGAGGTCAACAAACATCTGTCCTCGCTGGCTGTACTGTAACCCAAAACATTTTAAGTGGCTCCCATGAGCCTTATTTTTTTGGTGACCGATGAAGTAAAAAAAATCACCAAAGCCCCTGTCACACGTTCACGAATTTGGCCTCCCCAACACTAGTCGAACGCCCCACAAACATGGTTAGGAGTAGTTCAAAGCAAAGTCGGCTGGAGTTCGGCTGGTATTCTGTGTTATATCGACAAGTGGGAGCCTGAGGTAAATAAATAAAAGTAATAACAAGCAGAGAAAACTGTCAAAGTTACGTTTATGTTAAATCCAAATCGTTTACAATCTACTAGCTAAAGACCTGAACATGAACGAATGAAAGATTATTTTTTTATTATTATTTCCAACATGTAATCACAAGACGTGGTGACGGCACACTGACGTTTTTCAACTTATATTAATGCCGCCACCAACACAGGGGACAATACAATACTCATTTTCACCTGAGCGAAGTGAGGAAAGTCGTGTAAAGTGCCTTTCCCAAGGGCACAAGATCGGTGGCATGTCAGGACTCGAACCCGGGACCTCTAGGTTCCGAGTCGAGCACTC